TCCCCCCCCCCCCCCCCCCACACTCTGAAACTCATTCCTGCATATACTACTGTGCATTCAGTTGCATCTACTGATGTGAGAAGGACAGTCTTGTAGAATAATGTCATCCAATCCATTATTTCTTTTTTTTCAATTGTCTCTTTTCTAAATACTATTGCAAACTGTTCTCACATTCTGTTGTTCGCAGCTGCATGCGCACTGAATCAATAATTAACCGCAAGACCAGCCGCTCCCACCCCTGACAAAACCCATTTCACATCTCCACCGGTGAGGGCTGCCCGAGAGCGACTGCTCGCCGAATGAAGGGATTTCAGATCTTGTTTTATTTACCAAGATATGGAATTCATCACGGGCAAAAACACATTTCCTGCTTGCACCCATTTACTCCGCATATACAATCCTAATGTTACACATTCAATGGGTCTTCGGGGAGTTTTGTGTGAATGCATTTTGCTCTCAGGTTTGTTGCGGGGAAATAATGGGGGTGTCATTTTAATATGGTGCAGGTCTTTGTGCTTCTGTACCGGCACAATAGAACAATCACAGGGCTGGAATGGGCTGGGAAACAGCTGTGGTCTTATCGTCTCCACACCTGCACTTCTAAAAACCACAGCGCAGGTCCCTCACGGTGAGCAACTGACTTGACAAGAACCACTTTTGGCATGAGAGTCCAGCGGAGCCATAAAAAATGAAAGACATTTTTCACTGAATGGCCGGGCCTCACTCTTAGGGACACATTACTTGAGCATCTCGACCCTAGAAAACCCAAACTTTATGTAGACTATTTATATTCCCCTGTTCTTTTTGAAATGTGCTTGGCCCAGGAGCGTGATGTTGTGCTTTTTTTGTTGATTAGGTTAAAATGAACACATCTTTTTATCTTTTTTATTAGTATTACTCAAATTTGGTTACAAAATATATAATATAATTATTAAAGCATAATTTAATAAAAAATAAATATAATGTATAATTATATAAATAAAAATTCTATTTTATAAGTATAAAACAATTTAAATATATATAAATAGAAAAATAAATATATATACATACAAAAAAGCAGTATTTAACACCGCAATGCTCAGCCCACATCACAACACACCATAAACTAGTTATTGTGTTTTGCTTCCCATTTTGCTTAATGAACCATGTGAGTTATGGAAGGCATTACCTTTCATCTTCCTCACAACAAGACTTTAACTCAGGTCCCTCCCACCAACAGAGAGATAGATAAAAAAAAAACCTGCCTGTCGTTTCATTCATATGTAGGCTTGATTCAATTATACACAGGACTTCTCATCACAGCACAGGCAAACTTGAGTCAGTCCATTAACCTCTGTGTTAGTTCACCAATCTAAAGTCTAGCAACCACCGATGGGAACCATCACTGAGCTCTTCACAACCTCCAAACTGAACGAGAATGAGCAGCGATGCTCTCCACCCTTATCTACCTTCTGATTAGGGATGTAACGGCATGAAAATTTATTATCACGATTATAGTGACCAAAATTATCACGGTTATCAGTATTATCACGGTAATGCTCAAATGTGCTGGAGATGTTCAAAAAGTACCAACACATAAATCACTTCACCAAGTTTTATATTTAAAAATCAACAAACAACAAATAAAATGACTTTTTGTTTGCATAATCACTAAAACAATATCATTGCCAATGATGTTCGGATTTTAAATGATAACTTGACTGACAACTGTTTAATAGCATGTTGAAATATCTAATGTAAATGTTCAAATAAAGCTTTGAAAAAGTTTCATAAAAAGGTAAACCTCACATCACTTCCTTTAGGTATTACATGGAGCGAAGATAAAAACAAAATGCCATCGAATCGTTTCTGAAGACAGTCAGAACCTTCAGAGGTACATTCATATAATTAATTAATTCATATATTCATTTGTATAATTCTCTTAGCACTCTTTTAAAACCTCCCAGCTTTTCTGCCCTGTTTTCACTCAAAACGAAACTACTCTGCATGCTTAAAACTGTGCTTTATGTAGTATTTATTTATCGTGAGTTGTTCAAATCGCGGTAATCTAATACGGTTTTAGTGATAATTAAAATATGAAACGTAATACTAACCGTCGGGAATTTGATCATGATTTATCGTCAAACCGGTAATCATTACATCCCTACTTCTGATACCACCAACCATTTCTCATAGTCACATGGCACAGGAGGAAATGTGTGCTTTGACTTCCCAGATGCCTGTTTTTACTTTCATACTGTGTGTTTATGCAGAGTGAGAGAAAAAAGATTGGGTAGTGGAATACTAGGCCTACTCTCGGTAGGTTTATTTTTTATTTTTATACTTTCTCCGTCTGACCATTAGGCATTTCAGAGATCTGTGTGTGTGAGAGAGACATATTCAGTAGTCAATGCCAAGGTCTCTGCACTCTCATTTGGATGTAAACAAAGTGCTGAGTGCCTCTATGCAGATGTATTTTGCATGTTGTATATTCAGTGGAGTGGATTTATTGCATATAGATCGAATGTTTTGCTCTCTTATTCTCTTGACTTTTTTTCTTTCTGTCTTTTTCAGACAATAATGGCAGAACAGATCAGCTCCTGGCAATAGTAAGTAAC